ATCTATGTGAGTACCTATTTATGTCTCTTATGTGTCCATCAGTGTTTGTTTAGTTACATTTAAGTAATTCACTGTTGTTTCACGATAGTAAAATTTTAGTGATAGTTATTTATATGTTTATGCAGTGTTAACGTAATCCTGTTTCGATGTTTAGTATCATTTGTGTCTTAAAGGTTTCGATAGTGAATCAATTTGTTGTGACAGCCTACGAGGCTCTTTATTGTGTTAATATTTAATTTAATTAAATTCTTAAAGGTTTACTTTATTTATTTTTATTCCCTTTTGATTTACTTTTCTTTTTGTTTGCTTGCGCCTAGAACCTGGATATTAAAGTAAATTAAGAGACAGCGTAACAACTGTGACACACCTGTACACTGTGGCACACCTGTACACTGTGACACACACTGTACACTATGACACACCTGTACACTGTGACACACCTGTACACTGTGACACACACTGTACACTATGACACACGTGTACACTATGACACACCTGTACACTGTGACACACCTGTACACTATGACACACCTGTACACTGTGACACACCTGTACACTGTGACACACCTGTACACTGTGACACACATGTACACTGTGACACACCTGTCCACTGTGACATACCTATACACTGTGACACTCCTGTACACGGTGACACACCTGTACAATGTGTCCCACCTATACACTGTAACATACCTGTAAACTGAGACACACCTGTACACTGTGACCTGTACGCTGTGACACACCTGTACAATGTGACCCACCTATACACTGTAACATACCTGTACACTGTAACACACCTGTACACTGTGGCACACTTGTACACTGTGACACACCCGTACACTGTGACACACCTGTACATTGTGACACACCTTTACACAGTGGCACACCTGTACACTGTAACACACCTGTACACTGTGGCACACTTGTACACTGTGACACACCTGTACACTGTGACACCTGTACACCGTGACACACCTTACACTGTGGCACACCTGTACACTGTGACACACCTGTACACTCAGGGCACACCTGTACACTGTGGCACACCTGTACACCGTGGCACACTGCACAGACACACACCTTGCACAGCACACCTGCACACTGTGACACCTTACACTGTGACACTACACTGTGGCACACCTGTACACCAGACACCTGCACACTGTGACACACCTGTACATCAGACACACCCTGTACACTGTGGCACACCCACTGTGGCACACTGTACACTGGTGACACACCTGCACACTGTGACACACCCCTGCACACTGTGGCACACCTGTACACTGTGGCACACCTGTGCCACGTGACCCACCCATACACTGTAACAACCCACACCAGACACACCCACACTGTGACACTACATTCAGGCACACCTGTACACCAGGCACACCCACACTGTGGCACACCTGTACACTGTGGCACACTTGCACACCAGACACACCTGTACACCAGACACACCTGTACACCAGACACACCCACACTGTGACACACCTGTACACTGTGGTCAATACCTGTACACTGTGGCACACTGGTACACTGTGGCCCACCCACACTGTAACATACCTGTACACCAGACACACCTGTACACCAGACACACCTGTACACCAGACACACCTGTACACAGACACACCTGCACACTGTGACACACCTGTACACTGTGGCACACCTGCACACTGTGGCCCACCCATACACTGTAACACACCTGTACACCAGACACACCTGTACACCAGACACACCTGCACATCAGACACACCTGTACACTGTGGCACATTCCCTGTGTACACCAGGCCCCACCCATACACTGTGCATATACCTGTACACCAGACACCTGTACACTGTGACACACCTGTACACTGTGACCCACCTGTACACCAGACACACCTTGTACACTGTGGCACACTTGTACACTGTGGCACACTTTACACTGTGGCCCACCTATACACTGTAACACACCTGTACACTGTGACACACCTGCACACTCACCAGACACACCTGTACACTGTGACACACCTGCACACTGTGACACACCTGTACACTGTGGCACACCTGTACACTGTGGCCCACCTATACACTGTAACACACCTGTACACTGTGACACACCTGTACACTGTGACACACCTGTACACTGTGACACACCTGTACACTGTGGCACACTTGTACACTGTGGCACTCCTGTACACCGTGACACACCTTTTGCAATGTGACCCACCTATACACTGTAACACACCTGTACACTGTGACACACCTGTACACTGTGACACCCCTGCACAATGTGACCCACTTGTACACTGTGACACACCTGTACACTGTGACACACCTGTACACTGTGAGGGTAAATGGTAAAGACTGGGGCTATATTGTGTTGTCTGTATTGTGTGAACTATATTGTGTGGACTATATTGTGAACTATACTGTGTTGACTATATTGTGTTAAGTTAGTGTTGCAGTGTGTAATATATGATGGCTTTTATAACACTATGTAAAGTTAGATGCATATGTCATTAATTCAATCCACTTTTTAACCTTGAGGGGATATTTTGATTAAATTTCATGAATAATAATAACAATTCTCTAGTGTACATTATAATACACCTGATAATGATGTATATGCTCTATACTGTATATATTATGAATACAAATGAAAAATATTGTCTGAGCTTTATTCTTTACAGTAATCACAGTTTTGAAGTATAATAATTTACTTTAGGATTTTCATTTGATAAGACTTCGTTTGGTAACAAGTTTAGTTCTGATTTTGCGAAGTGTTAGAGATACGGTGTTACGAGTGAGCGGTGTTACGAGTGAGCGGTCCATCGTTGGTTGTGGATTCTCAACGTGAACGTCTTTTGTTTGGGACGTCATTTCTGCCGTGTCCGCTCGCTTTGTTTACTTTAGTATGGGCCCGGCAGTGTTAAGTACAGAGTATCTCCTTTCTTATTGTACAGTATGTTTCTAGTGGTATAACGTGTAAACTTTGCTCGACTTTTATAACACCAAGTAAAGTATTATTTGTGAAAGATTATTGTTAATCATCTTTTGGAGTTCCACGGAAAATAACTTACTTATTTATGAGGTTTCGTGTGGTGGATAGACCACGTTGTTCATCGTAGTTTCTAGACTAAATAAGTCTTTACTTTTGTGTTCATTATTTTGTCACTCGGTTGAGTCATTTATTTGATCAGATTTAACTTGTATTTGTTTATTTTTGTCCATACTGATATATTTATTTTATTGTTTATTTGTTAATATATTCTGTTATTAAACTACTGCATGTATTTCAATATACCCCATAGTAATGAGGTGACAATTTGGTGGGATCTATTCCTGGACCTATAGTACAAAGTGTAATTTGTGATATTGTTACACCCTTAAGAGGCCCAAGGGTCGTAACATACAGTAACTACCTTTGAGGGTTGTTACGTTGTGGACACTCCTCGAGGCTGTTTGCTGTCTGAAGACCAACTTTTTCCATCAGTGACATTAGTCTTTGAGGAAGAAAGTGTGGAATTAATTTAGAAAAAAAGAAAAATCTTTCAACACCGCTATTAACACTTCACACATCTAGTAAACTTAACCTAACCCAAACAAACGAACCCACACCTAACCTAACCTAAACAAACGAACCCACACCTAACCTAACCTAAACAAACGAACCCACACCTAACCTAACCTAACCTAACCTAAACAAACGAACCCACACCTAACCTAACCTAACCTCCGTGTGTGTGTGAGAGACAGGTTCCTTGTGTACACCTGCTTTCCTCACCTTGAATTATCAGTGTTAATTGATTTGAAGATGGACTTGCTGTTGACTTTCTGATGAGGTTATTTGACTTGCCTCCCGAGAGAGAGAGAGAGAGAGAGAGAGAGAGAGTATTGGACATAGGCTAAAGATAATAAGTAAATAATTGTACAGAAAACAAACCCATTAATCAGGTAATTGGTTATAGAATGAACATAAGAACATAAGAAAATAGGGAGTCTGCAATAGGCCGGTTGGCCTGTGCATGGCAGCTCCTGTCGAGAGTTACTACCACTCTCTATCATCCATGAATCTATCTAGCCTCCTTTTGAAACTTTCCAGAGTTCCAGCACTTACTACAAAGTTGCTTAGCTTGTTCCACTCGTCCACCACCCTATTTGTGAACCAGTTCCTTCCTATCTCCCTCCTAAGCCTAAACTTATCCAACTTAAATCCGTTGCTCCGAGTCCTATCCTGCTCGGATATTATAAGAACTTTATCTATATCCCCTTTATTGATTCCTTTCACCCACTTAAATGCTTCTATCATATCTCCCCGCACTCTTCGTCTTTCTCGGGAATGCAAGTTAAGTTTCTTTAACCTATCTTTATATGGAAGGTTTCTAAGTCCCGGAATCATTTTTGTCATTCTTCGCTGCACCGACTCTAGTGAATTGATATCCATTCTATAATAAGGGCACCAGAACTGAACCGCATAATCGAGGTGCGGCCTGACTAGCGCAAGATATAGTTGCAATAAGACCTCTGCACTCTTATTACTTACACTTCTAGATATAAACCTAATACCTTGTTTGCCTTACTGAAATATCAACGACTGTTTTCTTATTGTAGGGTCCGAACTTACAGCACCCCCTTTGTGTTCTTTCACAAGTCGACTTCTAGGTTGATGTTGTTAAGGCTGTATACATTACCAGTATTTACCATAAGTGCGCTGTACTTCTAAAAGAATTCCATTTGCCATTTTTCAGACCACCCCTGCAGTTTATTTAGATCCTCCTGTAGTGCATTTGCATCCTGCCCTGAATTAATCTGCCGCCCTATTTTGGTGTCATCCGCAAATTTGCTTATGTCACTGCTGATCCCAGTATCTAGATCGTTTATGTAGATTATGAACAAGAGTGGGCCTAGTACTGACCCCTGGGGAACCCCACTGGTTACACGGCCCCACCTGTAGACATTGGAATTAAGGAAACAGGTAACTTCAATCACTAATTTCACATTTTTTTTTCTTCCAGGATACACAACACCATCGCCCTCCCACACCCTGGACACAATAACGCAACAGGACAGGTGTGAGTAATGTTTACCTGTGATGTTGTTAATGAGTTTAATTAATGTCAGGTGAGGTCGTTATTCACCTGAGAGATTATAACTTTCTTTCAAGTAGTTATTTTACCCTTAAATGAATTAGTTATTAGAAGAAGGGGAATTTTCCTTGCCATTTAACGTTGAGGGAATGAGAAGGAAGGAGAGAGGACAAAGGAAGGACGGACTGGGACCTGCTATTGTTAGGGGAGACGTGATGAGCCTGGAGGGGAAATAATCTCGTCTGCTAGGGGAAAAAACATTTAGAATGCTTGGTAAAACTCATGTCTAGGGGAAATTACTGTGATTGGTATTGTTGGGGGAGAGAATGTGAGGGAAAAGATAGAAGTGACATTGATCTGGTGGGGGAAATGGGGAAATAATAGTCACCAGTTTGGGAAATAATATTAATTTGGTGGGGGAAATGAATGGAAATGGGGAAGAAGATTCATATTTTAGGGGATTTTTTTTGTTAACACGGATAGGGAAATACTTATTTAGCAAGGGAAATAATATACATTGGACTGTTATTCCTAGGGAGGTTATGTGGGGAAATAGGGAAAAAAGACTTGCTTGTTATGGGACATTAATGACATAGAAGCTGATATTGATAGGGAGGAAAGTTGGAGGACTAGGGAAAAAATTTAATCTAGTGAGGAGGTCATTGTGAAAATAACTTGGGCCAAAGTTCCCTTTTTTTTCCTTTCATTTTATAAGCGTGAGAGTTGGAGGTGAGGGCAGGAGAGTTGGAGTGGAGTGGGCAGGGAGAGCTGGGAGTGGAGGGGCAGGAGAGCTGGAGGAGGTGCAGGGAGAGTTGGAGTGAGGGCAGGAGAGTTGGAGGAGGGCAGGAGGCTGGAGTGAGGGCAGGAGAGTTGAGTGAGTGGGTAGGGAGAGTTAAGTGAGAGTGGGCAGTGGTGGAAGGGATGGCTGAGAGGAAGAGGAGGAGGAGGAAGATGAAGAAGAGGGGGCATGCAAAAGAGAGTGAGGTCGAAAGCTTGAGGGGGGGAGATAAAGAAGGAATGAGAGAGAGAGAGAGAGAGAGAGGGGGGGAGACACAGAGAAAGACGTAAGACAATGAATGAAAGTGAGATGAATTTAAAGAAAACGAGAGAGAGAGAGAGAGCGAGCAAGCACAGTTTCTTATCATTCTGTTGCCTCAGTCCTGACGTTTGTGGCGAAATGAACGGATATCAATCCTCCTCCTCTCCTCCTTCTTCCTCCTCCTCTTCCTCCTCTTTTCTTTCCTCACTTTTTCCTCCTCCTCTCTTCCTCCTCCTCCTCCTCTCTTAAAGGGATAGCTACTACTACTACTACTACCATTTTTTTTTTTTTTTTTTTTTTCAACGTGGCTCCAACCTCCCAATAGCCACACCTTCAGCCACCATTTATTTGCCCTAATATTAAATATCCTAATACATAAGAAGCTATCCTATCTGTGTTAAATTAGTTGAGCCGCAGATCTATGCGGCATTCAGTGACTGTAGCCTCAGTCAATATCTGCAGCAGTTGTCGGAGTAGGGGCAGAAGCTCTCGTTCCCCTGAGGCAGAGCAGAGCCGACCGAAGGAGAGAGAAGGACAGTCGACATCTCATCCAGGCTGTAACATAACTTCTGGGCTGCTGCTTCTGTTCGGAGATCAACTCCGCGAGTCTGGCGTAGAAACATCTTGCACTTGGGCCCATCCCACCAGAGGTTGGAACACTAGAGGAGTGAAGCTGCCTTGATCAACGTTTTGAATTCTCTCCCCATATGCCCTTCTCTTGTCGTTCTCGTTCCTCCTATGTGCAGCATCGAGAGCTAGGTTACGGTGACAAGCGGCCATGGGATCAAAAACTGATGTCGAAGAAAGCTCGCTGTCCCCGCGTCCAGAATCCTCGAGCACTGACGTCCACACGGGCTTCGTTAGATGTGTTTGAAGTCCTGTGTTGAAAGATCTTGCCATCCAATGGAAGGAGGGTCGGTTCTACCATGACGTCCCGACAGATTTCCTTCAACATATTTGCTGTGAGATCCCTTACCTCGTCATGCCTCATGCATATGAAGCCCCCCTTCTTGCAGACCATGGCGTGATCGCCATCATAGGAAGAGCCACACACGCATTGGGAGGGCAAACCTTCTACTAGCCAACCGTACTTTAGAGCAATGGCATCTGTAAATTCTTGTTTATTAAGACTGAAACCATTTGCCCTTATCGGTAACGTAGTTAACCAGTTCGAGGCGCCCACCTCCTGCGCTATAGCTACTTTTTTTTTAAAATTTTCTGGAACCTGCAGCAATCGTTGCTGCAACTTTTCATTTTGGCAGTGCTGTCGATCTGTCGTAATGGACCTACGAATCTTATTTACTTCGCTGGTATCCACTTCCCCTGTTGCATTCTGGGCTATTATGTGGTCCGTGAGGGCTGCACTGAGCTTAAGTGAATTTTGATGTTCAGTGTCAGCAATCTCCTCTGGATTAGTTAGTCCCATCCCTCCCAGTCTTGGTGGAAGTGCAAGAAGTGTTCTTTCTGCTGGGGTTAAGTCAGGGTGTTTCACTAATTTGGGAATGAACTTGACACTGATAGCTTCTTCCAGAGGGTGGAGGAGGGGTCCGATATTCAGGGATAGTACGCATCAGGTAGTTCCAGCGATGCTTGACTCCATGGGTGAATGCTGCAAAGGCCGCATGTGGCTCTGTGTTAGCAATCTCAGACAGAGCTTGGATTTCACTAACCCACTCATTCACCTTTCCCGCTACGTACTCGGTCTTGAAGTCCGTAGTGCCAATTACTGCGCCTAGATGTCTTTGGCCGTCCTTAGTTATTTTGACCTCACTTCCGCCAAAAACCTCCAATGCCCGTTCATAATGTTCTGGCTTCACGATGAGGAAGGACTTGCTGGCGTTTGGGTGGTACCCTATTTGTGGACCTCGCGATGTTACCAAGTCCCACCACTTTTTGATGCCCTCCACTTTTCCTGCTCCTGTAAGGTCATCAGCATATGCCACTTGTTTGACCCCAGTTGTTTCAAATTTTATTTCTTGTTGGAGCACTGATAGGCCAATTGCATACATTGCCATTGCAACGGGGTCCCCCTGTGTTGTTCCCTCGGTCGACTGTAGGATGGTATCACCTCATAGAGCCTTGTTGTTTACTATGTAGAGGTCTGAAGGATTCCTATACGAATTTTCAACATACATCGCAAAGCTTGGACACTTGATCTTGATGTTGTGCAGTGCAGCCTTGCGGTTAAGTATGTTGAATGCATTTGAAGCATCCACCAGGAGAACGGCCTCACAATCACGCTGCTCAAATATCAATCTCATGGCGTGAATGGCCGCCTCCCCACCAGCCTGGTGGCCAGCACTACTACTACTGCTGCTGCTGCTGCTGCTGCTGCTGCTGCTTTTATTTTATTTTTTATTGTGGCCTCCAGCCTCCCCCAATAGCCACACCTTCGCCGCCATTTTAATACCTTAATATTAAATATCCTAATACATAAGTAGCTATCCTAGCAGTGTTGAGCGGAAGAGTCACAGATCTATGCGTGATAGAAATTAGGTTAACTACTTGAAATTATGAATACTTGGTTTTCCTATGGAACCGTATATTTTTAATGAGTGCTATTGTTTGTGCTACTAATAATATATTTAGAATTCCTCAAACATATAATGATTTAAATGAAATCCACATGGAATAACGAAATTAAAAAAAAAAAAAAAAATTTTCATTACTTCCATTACGAATGCCATCAGGCACTGTGTTTGTTGACAGTCGGTCGGAGGGGGTTGGGTCATGTAGCATCTGGCACATCGGCTGTCATGTGTCTTGTCGGTTAAAGAGGAGACTTGCGTCGCCCATGATTCGTGAACTTCCCACGAGTAGACGTAAACATGTCTTGCAGATGTAAAATGAAAGAGAGAATTGTTGTGTGCTTGCTGAGTCGCCCTCAGTGATGAATGATCTTGGTCAGTTGTCATTTCCTAGAAATATCTTTGGGTAAAATAAGAAAGTGAGAGTGCGAGTGAGAGAGAGTCGATTGATGCTTGTGCTTGAGTGTGGGTGGTGTGCCTAGAATACATGTTCACATATATAATTGTGCTTAAGATACTATAAGGTCGATTGGCTGCAAGTAAGTTGAGTTATTTTTATATATTTTGAGTACATTAACTATGTTAATGACGGTTTCTGTAATAACTAATAATATATTCTTCTGTGAAGCTCCTGAAAATTTTGACATGTGCGGTAGTAGCTATATCAGGCTGGTCGACTTGAACCACACATGAAATGACTCCAGTCATGTCTCAATTTTTTAGTGTGTGTGTGTTGGGAATTTGTACACTATCAATAAATATACAGTGAATTAAAAAATTTCTCAATGTTCTAATTTCCTCAATATAACTGCATATGGCTTCAAAATTTCTCCAAAGAAGTGTTCAAATTTCTGTAATCTTCCTGGGGCTTATACAGCCCCCGAACTCCCAGATATTTAGGCCTGCTTCACAAAGAGGCTGCCCATGGGCCTCCACAGGTTCAACTGGCACTGCCCATTCCTCCCAGTCTCGGTGGTAGCAAGGAGTGATCTTTCTGTTGGGGTTAAGTGAGGGTGTTTCACTAATTTGGGAATGAAATTGACGCTATTAGCTTCTTCCAGGAGGGTGGAGAGGACCCCAGATCAGGGGATAGTGGCCCAGCCTCCCAATAATAGCCATTAACAATTCTCGCCGTCATTTTATTACTTTTAATATTAAATATCCAATACATAAGTAACTACCAAGTTGTGTTGAGTCAGTTGAGCCGCAGATCTGGCGGCATTCAGTGATCAAGGCCTCACAGTCGATATCTGCAATCAACTAAATATTCAAGTATAAAAGTCGTTTAAAAATAAATAAATAAATAAATAAAAAGTCTCGCTCCATGAATCAACTCACTATAAATAATAAATGGTGAGAAAAAAAAAACTATGACACATCTGAAAAGTGAACTCGTCGGAAATAAAAAAATAACAA